AGCTTTTAAAGTTTCCCCTTACACCTTAACTTAATTCCAGGTATTGTGCTGATAAAGTAAACCGTGACATATATTTGTCGCGACATTCTCATTTTTCGATACATTCTCTACTTAAATGTATTACAATGGTTTTAGTTTACCACGAGCCCACGATAAACTCGGTGAAGTCTCAATTTTCATGGTTGGCAGCACTCATCCCGAAAAAAGGTGAGTGTGTAGATACAGGGTGTTCCTAAAAGTGATCCCAATCTTCCGCGGATCCTTGTTGCTAAGGAACCCAGTAACAACCGGGTGAATTTTCAATTTTCACGGTTGGCAGCAGTCGCCCTGTCGGAGGCGGAAAGCTCGGATACAGGGTGTTCCTAATAACCGACCTGCACGGCTCATCGATGCTTTGTTCGAATGGGGGTGGCAGTTTGTGATTGGGGAATTCCCAATTTGCACGGTTGGCATCGGTCAGCTCTGATCGAGAAAGGAAGCGATGATACAGCGTGTTCCGAAAACTGATCTAGAAGATTCTTGGATGCTTGCTGCCAAGAGGGGCACGCTTTAGCTACAGTGACTTCTCAATTTTCGCGGTTGGCAGCAGTCATTCGGAGTAAGGGAAAGTTTGTAGATACAGAGTGTTCCATAATGTGATCTCCATTTTCCAGGGATCCTTGTTGCCCAGGAGACCACTGTAAACTCGGTGAAGTCTCAATTTTCATGGTTGGCAGCAGTCAGCCCGAAAAAAAGAGAGAGTATGATATAGCGTGTTCCGAAAAGTGATCCCAATCTTCCGCGGATCCTTGTTGTAAAGGAAGCCAGTATCAAATTGGTGAATTTTCAATTTTCACGGTTGGCAGCAGTCGCCCCGTCGGAGGCGGAAAGCTCGGATACAGGGTGTTCCAAATAACCGACCTGCACGGCTCATCGATGCTTTGTTCGAATGGGGACGGCAGTTTGTGATTGGAGAATTCCCAATTTGCACGGTTTGCATCGGTCAGCACTCATCGAGACAGGAAGCGATGATACAGCGTGTTCTGAAAACTGATCTAGAAGATTCTTGGATGCTTGCTGCCAAGAGGGGCCCGCTTTAGTTACAGTGACTTCTCAATTTTCGCGGTTGGCAGCAGTCATTCGGAATAAAGGAGAGTGTGTAAATACAGAGTGTTCCTAAAGGTGATTTCGATTTTCCAGGGATCATTGTTACCGAGGAGCCCACTATAAACTCGGCAAAGTCTAAATTTTCATGGTTGGCAGCAGTCACGGGAAAAGAGGAGAGAGTAGGATACAGCTTGTTCCTAAAAGTGATCCCAATCTTCTGCGGATCCTTGTTGCAAAGGAACAACTTAGTGAATTTTCAATTGGCGCAAAGAGCAATGATGACGAGGATTTGAGTTGAAAAGGAGAAGCCCTTCGCGCGCCGCGCCAGTCAGCATGGAACACATTTAGCGCCTTCAAGACTCCCCGAATACTTCACGCATTGCGTCAAACGCAGTGCGGTCAGCAGCGGTTGGCGTGAGACTCATAGTGCCTACAAGACTGCATGAATACTTAATGCATTTCGTCAAAAACAGT